CCTCATGGGCTTCCTCATGAGCCCATTTACAAGCCCACGAATCATCGGCCATCAGCCAGATCCTCTGCCTTCGGCCATCAGCCTTCGGCATCTGCCCTCAGCCATCAGCATCTGCCTTCGGCCTTCGGCCTTCGGTATTCTTCCTCTTCCCCTTAGGTCTAACCAGGGGCGGAGGCACGTGGGGACCAGTGCAGTCACTGGCCCCCACTCAACTTTTTTTTTATCCTTTTAAAATGTAATATGTATTGCTGTTATTGAATAATCTATATTAATTAATATGTTTATTTTATCACGTGGGCCAACAGCCAAATCCTACTTTCCTTTCCACCAAGCTTAAGCCACGTTCCTTTCCTTTTCCCAAAGGTTTATAGCTCTTATTATTATATATTCACCCTTTTACAAAAATCGATAAAAAAACCTAACCCATTTTTCTCCTTTCTTGGAGAAACACAAGCAACAAAGCAGACTTTCTCAATGCACTCTGCCTGTGAGTTTTTCTCTCAAACTCCATATTAAACTATCAAGTTTTAATTAGGTTAATTTATTCAATTAAAGTTTTTTTTGTAGTAGTTCTCTTTTTTATTTTTTATTTTTCTCTTTATTTATGGTTTTTTTTAGTTCGTGAAATTTTGATTTTGATTTTGATTTTGATTTTTGCTTTTTATTGATTTTAATAGGTCTTTTAATTTATGGATGAATGATTGCTTCGTTGCATATATTGAGAGAGACATTTTTAATAGTATAGATGACGAGGTTGTTATTCAACGATTTCAAAATATGAAAACTTGTCAAGAACAATGATGATTGTAATGAATACACAATATGATTTTTGATGTTTTGGTATGTCTTGTGAGTTCAAATTTTTTATTGTTTATCTTTTGTGAGAGGCCCCCACACATATAAAATCCTGGCTTCGCCACTGGGTCTAACCCTATGTACAATGTATACACACATTATTATAATGAGAACATACTTCTCTGTGGACGTAGCCCATTATTCGGGTGAACCACGTACATTTGTTTTCTGTATGCATGTCCATTTATTTACCGATTGCTCTTACATACTGAGGGTCCTCACCCTCAACATCCACCTCATCTTTAAGTTGGCCTACATACTACCTGTCTAGTTTTAGCGCAAACAGTAATAATTTTTTGTTTAATATTGTAAAATTAACATCAAAGAATTTTGAAAAATTATTTGAGTATGAGATATACATGAATTGTTCTATTTTAGAGGGGAAAATTTTGGGTTTGCGTTATCTAGCTAGCATTAGCGATGGACTTAATAGATTTCTATGCAAGGTAAATTTAGCCCACCCTATTTTGAAATCCTGGGTCCGTCCCTGTTCAAAACACTGGTATTGCTCTCTTATTTCCTTCTACACCACAATATTCAAGTTTGTTGGACTTTTACTGTAACATTGTTCTCAAATGGATCCACGATGTGGATATCATCTTGATATGGTGTCAATACGAATCTATCTTTATCTGCAATCTTACAGCAAAAGGCAATTGCAGATCTATCTATGTCCTGAGAGCATCTGTCCGCAAGTATTTAAAGCCTTGCTAAACGAATCTCTCGGTTTTTTCTTTTTTTGGGTCTAAAGTATCTCTCAACTTAAGAACGGCAAGGATCATTTTGATGTGTGGAGAGTAATCTTAAGGACCATTAGTGTCACAAAAAAAAGTTAGGAATGAAAAGTGATAATTTCATAAACCATTTGTGATATAAAAAAAAAAAGCCTTATTTGTATTATTGGTGCCATTTGCCTTTTTTCAGGATTAATATGTGATAAGTATGATACATGTACTAGTGTTCTAATGTCAAATAATCTTATATAATTTAAATATATTTATGTTGTTAGCCTATGAATTAGAATTATTAATTGTTGATTGTTTACCTTATGTACAAAATATATGAATATTCGCCCAAATGTGTTTACAAACATAAATATTCGGCAATATAAACATGACAAGAAAATATTACTTAACACCTATTATTTATACTTTATAGGTAAAAGGGGGGAAATGGAGATATGTTCAGGCAAGTTCATGCCAGAAAATTAACTTGGTATTGCTATATTGTAACCTTTCTTATCAAGCTCATGACATTCTTGAGATACATATATTTAATTAGGTGTCAACGTAATACCAAAAATGAGGAACACATGTGTTATACAAACAATGGAACATATGTGTTATAAGGAACATGTGTTATAGCAACAATGGAACATGTGTTAAACAATGGAACATGTGTAATAGAAATCTATCAGGTTATATCCTGGGAGAATCTGTCCGCAAGCATTTAAATCCTACCTAACACATTAATAAACCAATGAACAATCCCATCTAGCAACTCCTGTACTATGAGAGCCTTTAAATCCTAGACAAAAGAATCTGTCAGCGTTTTTTTTTTTGGTCGGAAGAATCTCTGAGCTAGAGCGACCAATCAAAACTACAAGTCTCGTCTTCATAAAATCCCACCTAACTAAACTAATCACTCACAGAAGAAGTTGGCATACTATACTAATTTATGTTGTTATTCCTTGCAGATCCTTTCTTTTGCCTATAAAGAGCAGTAAGATGGCCACAGACTTGATATAGCCTACAGCAAACGGTCATATTGGTTTGGAGCTAGATATAGCCTATAGCAAACAAAGTAAGATGGCCACAGACTTGATAAAGGTTGAAATCATTGAGAGGCAAACAGTCAGACCATCATCCCCAACTCCTCATTCCTCGAGAACCATACAGCTCTCTGTTTTGGATCAGATGGTTCTTAGTCACGTTTACTTCCCAACGCTTCTCTTCTACGCCGCCAACAATAATATTACTGGTTCAGGAGGTGGAGCTACTTCTACAGACATTGCGGCCATGAGGATGAAGGAGAGAGATTATTGTCAGCATCTAATTCGGTCATTAGCTAAAACTCTCACTCACTTCTACCCTTTAGCAGGAAGATTGAGTAAAGGCAATGACATCGTCCAATGCACTGATTGATAAGTATGATACATGTACTAGTGTTCTAATGTCAAATAATCTTATATAATTTAAATATATTTATGTTGTTAGCCTATGAATTAGAATTATTAATTGTTGATTGTTTACCTTATGTACAAAATATATGAATATTCGCCCAAATGTGTTTACAAACATAAATATTCGGCAATATAAACATGACAAGAAAATATTACTTAACACCTATTATTTATACTTTATAGGTAAAAGGGGGGAAATGGAGATATGTTCAGGCAAGTTCATGCCAGAAAATTAACTTGGTATTGCTATATTGTAACCTTTCTTATCAAGCTCATGACATTCTTGAGATACATATATTTAATTAGGTGTCAACGTAATACCAAAAATGAGGAACACATGTGTTATACAAACAATGGAACATATGTGTTATAAGGAACATGTGTTATAGCAACAATGGAACATGTGTTAAACAATGGAACATGTGTAATAGAAATCTATCAGGTTATATCCTGGGAGAATCTGTCCGCAAGCATTTAAATCCTACCTAACACATGAATAAACCAATGAACAATCCCATCTAGCAACTCCTGTACTATGAGAGCCTTTAAATCCTAGACAAAAGAATCTGTCAGCGTTTTTTTTTTTGGTCGGAAGAATCTCTGAGCTAGAGCGACCAATCAAAACTACAAGTCTCGTCTTCATAAAATCCCACCTAACTAAACTAATCACTCACAGAAGAAGTTGGCATACTATACTAATTTATGTTGTTATTCCTTGCAGATCCTTTCTTTTGCCTATAAAGAGCAGTAAGATGGCCACAGACTTGATATAGCCTACAGCAAACGGTCATATTGGTTTGGAGCTAGATATAGCCTATAGCAAACAAAGTAAGATGGCCACAGACTTGATAAAGGTTGAAATCATTGAGAGGCAAACAGTCAGACCATCATCCCCAACTCCTCATTCCTCGAGAACCATACAGCTCTCTGTTTTGGATCAGATGGTTCTTAGTCACGTTTACTTCCCAACGCTTCTCTTCTACGCCGCCAACAATAATATTACTGGTTCAGGAGGTGGAGCTACTTCTACAGACATTGCGGCCATGAGGATGAAGGAGAGAGATTATTGTCAGCATCTAATTCGGTCATTAGCTAAAACTCTCACTCACTTCTACCCTTTAGCAGGAAGATTGAGTAAAGGCAATGACATCGTCCAATGCACTGATGATGGAGCTGAGTTCGTGACGGCCCGAGTCAAATGTTCCTTATCCAAGATTTTTGAACACCCAGATCCCGAGATGCTAACAGGGCTCGTCCCAGCAATTGGTCAACCTGACGGTGATGGTGATGGTGTTTCCACGAGGCTCCCGTTGCTTGCTGTGCAAGCCAACTTGTTCGAGTGTGGAGGAATAGCAATAGGGTTGAATTTTTCACATAAGGTTGTTGATGGTATCACTGCTAGCGCCTTCATCAGTTGTTGGGCCAAAACAGCCCTTGATGATGGTGACGATGATCAGGTACCCTTCATGGTCCCAAAATTTGATGCTGCGTCTTATTTTCCACCACTAGATTTCTTAAACTCATCACAGCCATCATCAGCCGAGCTGGTGGGCATCATTAAACACGACAAGTGCATAACAAAGAGATTTGTGTTTGATGCCTCAAAGATTGCCACCCTCCAATCAAATTTGGCCAGCGCATTGGCACCTCATGCACCGACACGTGTCCTTGTAGTTTCAGCACTCATTTGGAAATGTGCAATGGAAGCATCATCCAAATCATCAAACATACCACCATCTTCGTTCCTACTAACTATGGACTTGCGTAGATGGTTTGAGCCACCCTTGCCACAAAACTTGGCTGGGAACGTTGTTGGTATTTTAGTAGTCACAGCAACAGCATCATTAAAAGGTCAAGAAGAGAGTGATGAGACAATAGATCTAAAAGACTTGGTTGCCAAACTCAGTAAAGGTATTGCACAACAGAAAGAAACTTATCCTACAAAACTACCATTTGATTCTAATGAGGCATGGCGAAGGGCTCAAGAATATGAAAAATTGAGAGGGAATGTTGACATGTACCATTTATGCTCTGGAATTTGGTGTAGGTTTCCTTTTTATGAAGCCGATTTTGGATGGGGAAAGCTGACATGGGTGAGCATACCTAGTATTGGTCGTAAGGATGTTTTTTATTTGATTGATAAAAGAGATGGCAAGGGAATAGAAGCATTGTTGAGTCTGAGTGAAGAAATCATGGAGCATTTTGAAAGCAATCCGGAGCTTCTTAAATATGCTTCTGTAAATCCAAGGGTCATGTAGCACTATGTGTTAAGGTCGGAGTTTGGTCGAGTTTTGTGTCGTGAGAATAATTATTTTCATTGCGCTAGCTGTGAGAATAATCACTTTCAATTGTTTTGTGAGAAGATGGTTATTGCATTTGTTGTCTTGATGAAAAGAAATATCATCAAATCAATATATATTGCTCATATTATTATGCCTCATTGGTTGTGAGAAAACTAAAGGTCTTACTGATAAAAGACAAAAAAATCTATAATTGTTGTATAATAAACAAATGGTGCTGGAACATAAAGGCTACACATAAAGTAAATGAGACACAATATTAAACGATATTCGACTAGTTGTGCCTACGTCCCCGAAGAGCATCAACACTAACCTTTTCACTATATAAAATAATAGGGCTACAAAAGGAATACAACTTTAGTATTTACACTCTCATTGGCTCACTATTTTTCTCTCTTGGACAACTTCTCTCTGCTCTCTTTTCTCTCCTCTCACTCTCCTCTTTTTGATTATTAATGTATTTATTAATAATTCTGATTGTTGATTCAAGAAGTTGTGTATTGACACTAGTAAAAGTCATACTTGTATATCATTTCAAGGAATGTGTTCATAAATATTATGTATTACGGATTAATCGATTACTCTTGTTTTAATATATGCCAAATATTCTCTTTGTAATTCCGAATTCTTTTCATCATAACTTATTTTGTAGTTCGTAATCCTTTTTCATTTTCTTTTCTAATTTTATGTATTTGATTTATGATTGTGTTTTTTTTTAATAGAAAAGGTGATAGTATTTATTGATGAAACTGAACAAGTACAAAGCCATAAAAGTGCCGAAATTGGTATAATATGTCACATCCCGGGATCGCGGCTCAGCCATAGCACGATATTGTCCGCTTTGGGCCCCCCTCTCTACCCTCACGGTTTTGTTTTTAGGAGCACACGAGTAACTTCCCAGTGGATCACCCATCCTGGGATTGCTCTAGCCCCAACTCGCTTATACTTCGGAGTTCCTATGATTCTGAAGTCAGTGAGCTCCCAAAAGGCCTCGTGCTAGATGGAGGCAGGCATATACATATAAGGCACATCACCCCCTCTCCGTTGGTCGATGTGGGATCTTACATAGTATCTCCAGTGATCAAACACAACATGTTGATTTGATTTGGAGAGAATTACGCCTAAACCAACAAATACTCAAAACATATCAAAGTTATTTTAGGAGCTCTCTAAAAAATTTAAAATCCCATCATGCTCTCTAGTTTAGGGAGTCATAAATGCTATAACTCTTTTTTAATTGATCCATCTCTATTAAAAAATAATTAACATTAATCAAAGGTTTGAAATACTCATTAAATAAAGCAGCATTAAATTATAGGGAGCCACTAGGAGTCCTTTCTCTCTCCTCAGATTTAGGAGCTCCTAGAGATCTCCCTATTTTTGGAGGGGGATAAGGAGCATGGTTGGAGTTGTATTTTTCCAAATCCTCCCTAAAATTTATCTAAAGATATAGTTTATGGAACCCATTGTGAATGCTTTTATGGAACCCATTGTGAATGCTCTAACACATTAATAAACCATCAAATAAGTTGGTATTCATTAAAAGTAAGTCTCTCTCGTCTCCCACCTAACACATTAATAAACCAATAAACAATCCCATCTAGCAACTTTTGTAAATCCTAGCTAATTAAAGAATCTGCAGCTTTTTTTGGGTCGGAAGAATCTCTGAGCTAGAGCCACCAATCAAAACTACAAGTCTCGTCTTCATAAAATCCCACCTAACTAAACTAATCACTCACAAGTAAGACTCTCTCGATCGTTTTCATTAAATCCCACCTAACACATTTATGTTGTTTGCCTATAAAGAGCAGTGAGATGGCCACAGGCTTGATAGAGCCTACAGCAAACAGTCATATTAGTTTCGAGCGAGATATAGCCTATAGCGAACAAAGTAAGATGACCACAGGCTTGATCAAGGTTGAAATCATTGAGAGGCAAACAGTCAAACCATCATCCCCAACTCCTCATCCCTTGAGAACCCTACAGCTCTCTGTTTTGGATCAGATGCTTCCAAGTCACGTTTACTTCCCAACACTTCTCTTCTATGCCGTCAACAATAATATTACTGGTTCAGGAGGTGGAGCTACTTCTACAGACATGGCGGCCATGAGGATGAAGGAGAGAGATTATTTTCAGCATCTAATTCAGTCATTAGCCAAAACTCTCACTCACTTCTACCCCTTAGCAGGAAGATTGAGTAAAGGCCATGACATCGTCCAATGCACTGATGATGGAGCTGAGTTCGTGACGGCCCGAGTTAAATGTTCCTTGTCGCAGATTTTTGAACGTCCAGATCCCGATATGCTAACAGGGCTCGTCCCAGCAATTGGTCAACCTGATGGTGATGGTGATGCCACGAGGCTCCCGTTGCTTGCTGTGCAAGCCAACTTGTTCGAGTGTGGAGGAATGGCAATAGCGTTGAATTTTTCACATAGGGTTGTTGATGGCACCACATCTAGCGCCCTCATCAGTTGTTGGGCCAAAACAGCCCTTGATGATGGTGACGATGATCAGGCACCCTTCATGGTCCCAAAATTTGATGCTGCGTCTTATTTTCCACCACTAGATTTCTTAAACTCATCACAGCCATCACCACCCAAGCTGGTGGACGTCAAGTACATAACAAAGAGGTTTGTGTTTGATGCCTCAAAAATTGCCACCCTCCAATCACATTTGGCCAGCGCATTGGCACCTCATGCACCGACTCGTGTCCTCGTAGTTTCAGCACTCATTTGGAAATGTGCTATGGAAGCATCATCCAAATCATCAAACATACCATTGGGGTCAAGACCATCTTCGTTCAAAATGCCTATGGACTTGCGTAGACGGTTTGAGCCACCCTTCCCACAAAACTTGGGTGGGAACGTTGTTGCTCATTTAGTAGTCATCGCTACACCATCGTTATTAAAAGGTCAAGAAGAGAGTGACGATGAGACGATAGATCTAAAAGACTTGGTTGCCAAACTCAGGAAAGGGCTTGAACAGCAGAAAGAAACTTATCCTACAAAACTACCATTTGATTCTATTAAGGCATGGCAATGGGATCAAGAATGTCAAAAGTTGACAGGGAATGTTGACATGTACCATTTATGCCCTGGAAGTTGGTGTAGGTTTCCTTTTTATGAAGCTGATTTCGGATGGGGAAAGCCGGCATGGGTGAGCATTCCTAGTATTGGACTTAAGGATTTGGTTATTTTGATTGATAAAAGAGATGGCAAGGGAATAGAAGCGATGTTGAGTGTGAGTGAAGAAATCATGGAGCATTTTGAAAGCAACCCGGAGCTGCTTAAATATGCTTCTGTTAATCCAAAGGTCATGTAGCACTAAGTGCTAATTAAGGAAGGTCTGAGTTTAGTTTAATTGGTATTGTTGTGATTCTGTTGTGAGAATAATCAGTTTCAATTCTATTGTCAGAATAATCAGTTTCAATTCTATTTTGAGAATAGTATTCCAAAATCTAAGTATTAAAGTCAAGTTTAGTTTAATTAGTATTATTGTAATGTGAGAATAATCATTTTCACTCTGATGTGCGATGTTCGGAAAATACTTTTTTTTTTCGTGGCCAAGGATTAGTATACGTCTAGCTTTTATCCTAGCCATTTGTTCTAAAGTTGGGGAAATCAAAGGTTGATCCTAACCGTTAGTATTTTCAACTGAGAGAGCATAAGGATTGATCTTGGCCATCCTTCCATTAAGAGATAAGCGGGTTTCAACTTTCAAAGGTGAAGGCAAAACAAATTCATATGGAGACAGACAATGGCGGACTCAGGAATATTTACAGGGGTGGGTTAATTTTTTTTTTTTTTTTTTTGTTGGGATCAATTATAAGCTCTATTTTTAAACATATATTTATATATATATAACAATATTTCCTTCCGATTAATGAAAGGGGTATACTTTTTGACTAATTCAGTATATTTTCTTCAAATTAAAAAATATTTTTAGAATTCATTAAAAATAATACTATTTTCAAAGAGATATGTGAACAAAGAAAACCTAGAAAAACCAAAATTCAAAGACTCAAAAGAAGAACAATTTGAAGCTCGATGACTTTGGCTCAGCGGAGTGGTTTAGTTAGGGAGGGTCCATATTTCAAAATTTCCAAAAGAAGCACCATCAATAAATTTGAAAAAACAAAATCAGAGAGTCATATAAACATTATTTGAGCCAAATCAAAAGTTGAATAAACCGAAAAAGAGAGAGAGAGAAGAAAAAAAAAACTTTAGTGTAATTGAAGTATTAAAGTATTTGGCTGCAAATATGGGCTGCTTTCTTGAAAAAGTGGTGGGCTATTATTTAAATTTTTTTTGGATTGAGTTTACACAACTAAGCCTAATTTGTCTCTCTCCAAAGTCAACACTGGGCTAGAACCCACTCTAGCCCAAGCATGGATCCGTCCTTAGAGACAGACATCAAAACAAGACCACAAGTGAAGTTTAAGGCTCCGTTTGGTAGGCCGGACTGTTGTGGGCAAACACTCCAAGACCTTTTCGTTGATGGACTACACAAATACCACACATAAGCCACACAAAGATAAAGCACACTCACCAACCCAAAAGTAAACACACACACACAAAGAACACAAGAATTTATAGAGGTTCGGCGTTGTGCCTACGTCCTGTCCGGTGATCCCCGAGAAATTCACTAGTATGAAAGAACCCTTGGGTTACAATGAAGAACCCCATTTGCTCTCTCACAAACCCTAACTCTCTTCTCTCTCACCCTGGCTCAAACCTCCCTTGTTTTCTCTCTTGCACTCGTTAGAGAAAACCCGAGCACTAAAATGCCTATTTATAGACCATAGTACAATCATACAATGAATAGGAAACTTAAAACTCCCCAAATCCAAGGAAAAACTATCCTAAACCGTCAAGGATCCGCGCTAGAGTCGTGTCGTTTGCTCGAGCAGCTGCAAGAGTAAAAGGGATGATGCTTCATGTAAATTCAACAATTATAGGAGATTATTGTTTTCAAGTTGTTAATTCTTGAGATACTTTGTCATTTTTTAAGATTACGTGAAACAAAAACATGTATTTAATATTATTGTATAGGAGACCATGTAATTATTTTGATGCCATTAAATGAAATTTTAGTTCAATTTACTTGAAAACTTTGGGATCTTGAG